AAGTACCGGACAAATCGAGTTTATTTTCAGCTCAATACCAAACGAGTAATATTAACTCTGAATACCAGAGGATTCCGTTTTTTACTGGACAGTAGGCAACTCTACTAACTAACCATATGAATAAAATAAAGTTCACCAGTAAATTCATAGCACCCACCCTACTGTATAGAAACTCCATCATGCTAGCTAGTACACAGTACGAGTTATTGTAACTGACTGTAAAAAGTTAGCACAACGAAAATAAACTCCACCTAAACTTGGTTTATATCTGACCCAGACAGACTGCAGGTCATAACTTCTTACCTGAAGCTCATTTCACCTGACAGCCGGACCTGCGGCTGCCTTGGGTCTCTCCACCTCCACCTCCCCTTTCCCCCATCCACCTGCTGGCCTCCACCACTTACTAATTTTACTGAATCTGTGAAAGCTCCACCATAGCCAAACAATTGAGTTATTTTTACACATCTGCCAGCATCTGTCCAATCCGCCACCGTTCACAAATGCCCGGTATGCCCGATGGCCAGTCCAGCTATGCCCCACAGACAGACTGAAGCCCCGCCGCTATTTTTTGGTAAGTTAAATGTGTTTGTGTCCACTGTCCTTAGCTAGGTCCTGAAATCTAGGCAGCTAAGATGAGAAGTGGGCTCTTCCGGGAAACTTGTTTTGTAAAGTTGGTTTAGCTAATCCTTAGAGGCGAAGGAATTGAGCGTGACTAAAGAAATGATGAGAAAAGCAGTGGGTTGCTCTTTTGTCCAGTCATTGGTGCTAGCTAAGAGGATGTAATAAAGGCGAGGTATCAGAGATGAAAAAGGAGTGGTTGTTGAGAAATAAGTGGAGAAAGAGGTGGTCAGGCAAGAAAAACAGGTGTGAGTGTGTAAAATTTGGTGAGTGTTTGAGTGCAAAAATGTGTGGTCTCCAGCTAATGGAAAAGGCTGGTCGCGCAATGTGCACATTGTGCTCTTCAAATATAAGAATTTTCCCCATGTTTTTCGCCCGTCATGTGGCCACATGTGGCGGGGTAGCAGGTTAGTAACATACAGACCCAGTTCGAGCCCTCGGCTCACCTGGCTCTGTATGTTCACCTGCTAGGGGGAGGTCCAGGCAGGTGATCTTGGAGTGAAAATTCCAAGGGCTGAACCTTGTTCAGCCTGGGCTTCCCCTGACTTTTTTTTGTTTGTTTGTTTTCTTTTACCTGCCAGCAACAAACAGACCTCCTTGTTGTCATGGCTACCAAGGACCACTCTTCCTGTGCCAACAAGTCATTGCCTGACAAAACATTATTTCCCATGTTTCCCTGTGTTTTTTTTTAACCTCTTTAGTCTCTAAGTGTGACTGACTTGAAATTGAGATTAAGGACAGTAACCATTTTAGGATCAGTCACTTCTAATGCCTAATCCACCCCAAACAGTAAAAAAAGGGTGGATGTATGTGTTTGTTTGTTGTTTGTTTGTTTTTGCAGTAGCAGGAGGATGACAGAGACCAGAGGAGGGGGAGACTGTAGGTTCACATGAGTGTGTGTGGGCCCTGCAGACTTAACCCTTTAACTGCCACTTTCTGCTGTCTCCTTGTTCAGAGGGCCCATCATTATGCAGAGAAAGGAATCTGTGTCTCTGGACTAAAATGACTGTACGTGTAGTGCTGTAGAAACAATACTGCCCAAAAACCTTCATGTTTCTATATGTGGAAACCTTCAAGTATGCATATCCTCCTGTAAGGGTAAAGTAATGGGACATTTGCACTTTTTGCATGTAAGCCTGTCGGTCTGAACTGGAAGTTGCACTTGAGCTGTCTTGGCATCTTTCCCTTGTTTGACTCATCAGTTTTGCCCTGAGCTGAACTGCTGCCTCCTTCTCTGTTGTGGTCCTCAGCGGTGGCCAAGATACTGTAACGTGCATCTGGCTGCAGTGACTCCAGCATCACCTGCTTCTCTCCACCAGGGACCAGCACCTGCAGACAACAAACAACACTATCATCCCAACACAGTCAGAACTCATTTAAAGTTTTGGGACTTATGGAATTTCTGGAATTCTGACACATGACAGCCGGCTGAAGGCCAGAAGAGGTGAAGATGTAATGACTACGACCCACTCACAGTGTGATCCTGGCTATCCGCTCCAGTCAATGCTGTGTAGGACACACGATACTGGGAGACATGGGCATTGGGAGGTACCCAACTGATCACCATGCTGACGGCAGTCTCATCAGAAACCGTGAGGCTCGTCGGGCCTCCACCAGACCCTGCAGCTACCACAGCTAACGACACTTAACCCTCACTTTGTTCCTTTATAGGAGGAAATTGTTTTGGCAGCAGAGCAAAGTGTTTTTTTTAGACAATAAATGTAAAGTATAACAGAGAATTTGATACTTTGATTTGATACTTTAACCTCACTACATTTATTTCATAGCTCAGAGTTCTAGTTATTCAAAGATGAGAATTTAGATGTGAAATTTAACCTTTAAGTGACTAGTACTTTGAGAACTGCCATCAATTACAGAATGAAGTTCATTTACGTACAGGTTATTGTATTAGTAATGCTATATTGTACATAGAGACAAAATATGACATGAAAGGCTGCTGACCACAGAAAAGTAAAAGGTAACTGGGCCTAAAGACTAACGGGAGAGAAACAAGCTTTCTGTGATTCCATTTGTGTCTTTGTGGTAATCTTGGATATCTTAGGTTGTCTCATTACTGTCATATATGTCCTATCATTAAAACACTCGCTTCTAACAACTAACAGTGTCTCGAAAAAATTTAATAAATAAACAAATAATATGGATGCATGACTCAAATGCATGACTTTTAACTTGTGTATTTTTTAGGCTGAACACTGCTGCTAATGTGACTTAGGTAAATGGTTTCAGGCTCTCCCCTCCTGAGTTTGAGAAACGTTCAGGATCAGAAAATGTGTGACTCACAGGTGCTGTAGCGTATGGCCACAGCTTCACTCTGAGCTCCATCTCCATAGAGTGCAGACAGTGATATCTGATACTCCTTAAGACACAGGACAACAGTTTATTGAGATATTATATTTTTTACTTCATAATATGTACTCCAACAATCCAATAGTTCTTCCCCACCTGTCTCAGGTCGCCTCCACTTAGTGAGGTAAGAAACATCATCATCAGCTGCAGCTTCCCAGCGCACCGTGATGTCACTGTCTGAGAAATGTGTTACTCTAAGGTCAGAAGGAGGAGGCACCTTCAATAGAAGAAAAGAATAATATGTATGGGAATTTTTTAAAAATGAGAAAGCTACATTTTGACATCTTTCATTATTAATAACATTTATAGTACTGTGCAAAAGTCGTGAGCCACACGCTGAAGTATTTCTTTGGACATTATCTGGTTTTTCCACTCCTTTTTAGTCCAGTTCTTGTACCTGACCATTTTCTGAGTAATGTTTTTTGTTTATTTGTTTGTGTAAACACTTTGGCCATTATTGGAGAATTAAAAAGCACCTAAGTCAAGGAATGTGTGTGCACATAACAGAAAACTTGGGAAAGAACCAATTTTAAATCTTTAAGCACTTTGTTACTAGCAGCCTGTCACAAAAACACATTTTGTATAGTGTTTTTTTTTTATCTTGTGAATAAAATGTATACAAATGTGTGTGATTAATCACAATGTGTTAGTGTGTAATCACCCTGAGACATGCATGCCTGTCTGCTAGTGTCAGATCTAAAGCCATTTCTGATTTGGAGATGCAGGCTGCAGATTCTGTCCAGACTAAACATCCAGTCTTCACTTATCAAATGTGTAAAATTCAAGGCTGATCCTTAAAAGCTCCCAACAACGCAAAAACTGCATAGCCACACAAGTCCCAGCGTTTCCCACAGCAGCAGCAGCAGCTGTGAAAAGAAAGTGGAGAAAGGATGAATGAGTGTGTGCTTATCGGCTCTCCGCTCTCCCCCAAGCTGGCGTTGTTCTTGGTAGCCATGACAACGGAGATAGTCCCAGCTTTATAAATAAAGGCCCCAACACCCCAAAACAAAAAAAAAAAAACAATCGGGATTCCCTGCGCAGACCAGGAATCCCCCTAGCAGACCGAAGCTACTGAGATGATTTTGATTGAGTGAGACTCGAACCATCGACTATCTGTGCTTCAACCTGCCAGGGGCCGCCACATTTGCCGCCACCACATTTGCCGCCACCTGACGTCAGTGACGTCATTCTACACCACTACCACAAGTAAGGAAAAACCTGAATCTGTAGATCTTTTTCTTTTATTTTTGTTGTCTAAAACACAAAAATCCCGAAACAGTCAGCTCACAAAGTTGCAGGTTGGTGGGAATTTGGCAGAAGAGCCAATGACTTAAAGCATTTAGGTGCATATATCTTGCCACAAGACATGTGCGCTAAGCTAGCTAAATTAGTTTCTGTTAGCGAATCAAGTTCAAGCTCCTCACATATCATCATCCAGGGTACAGTCATATGCTCATGAGGAGATCCCATGCAGGCAACATTAAGGCAGTGTAACAAGTTAAATATGCACTAATTTTAAGCTATTTCCTAATATCTAACCATTATGATAAATGTTTGCCTGCAACTGACACAGCCAACACAAATGTCATTGACAAAAACAAAACCCTGTGATAACATGTTTTTGTTTTTCTAGAATAGAAGAACCAGATTTTAAAAAGCCAGTAGTAATAAATCTTTGTTGTTACTGCATGATTAGAATGAAGTAACAACAAGTCTGGCTGGAATAAGAAGTGGTAATCTGTGTACTGTGCTAGTGATCTGCATAATTCACCTTAGATGGTCATCTGTTTGGATGGCTGAAGTCGGCTAACGACACAGCTAATTTCATCAGGCTGCTAATGAAACATCTAAAACGATAGATGGTTAACTACACAAGGGAAGCAACAGCATTACAATCACTTGATTTAATTAAAAAATTTCCCCCAAACTTTTGATCCAAATTAGCAAAGTACTGCAACCATCTGAACCTTCTAGGTGTTACATGTTACAGTGTTGCACTCTGGCCAGCTTTAAAAATGGAAAACTCTTTGTGTGGTTTACTCGGTTCTGTAAATGAGGCTCCTTTCATTTGTGAGACTGTTGTTCTTCTCTTCCCTTTTGTCCACCCTTACAAGGTGAAGGTGCTGCCCACCCATGATGCCAGCAAGGTGCGTGCAAGTGGATCCGGCCTTAAAACCACTGGAGTGCCCACCTCTCTGCCAGTGAAGTCACTTGAGCCATGACTTGAGTAAGCACTGTCCTGTTGAGTTTGTGGGCTCAGATGACAGTTATTGTAGAAACGATGTGAAATCATGTTTTAGTTTCTTTGTAAATTATAGTCAAACATACAATGAACTGAGGTATTCTCTTTGGTTAACAGAGCAATACGATAATAAAAGTGGACAAAGCACATCGAGTTGCCACAAATATCTTAGTATATCACACAGTTTACATAGTCGAAAAGGAGTATAAAGAAGTTTACACTCACAAATACTTATTTTCCACCATAATTTGCAAATCAATTCTTTAAAACTCAGACAAGTTAGAGGTAAACCTATCATGAAAATTACAGGCCTCTCTCATCTTTTTAAGTGGGAGAACTTGCACAATTGGTGGCTGACTAAATACTTTTTTGCCCCACTGTATTTGATCCTGTCTCTCTCAATACTATTTAATATCTAAATGCTTGATTCATCATATTATAACAAATGTGCAGTTGTAGCTACTCACAGTGAGTTTGATTCCATTTTTTCCATCTACCAAAGAGAAATAATATCTCTTAGTGGCAGGTGGATCACACACTGATTGTAACACTTTGCATATGAGTGCGTAGGATGAGCATTTTATAACAGCATGTGTTGTTTTTGTTTATGTAAGGAAATACATCAGTTTCCCTTGTATTTTAAATTTGAGTGAAGATCCTAAATTGGCCCGACTCTTGACTTTGAGAAAGGCTGATCTGTGCTGTCCCCACATGAGCACAGTCAGATATAATACAGGCTTTCGGGAGCAGGAAGGCTAAAGGCTGTTTAATGTCTGATGTAACTGTGTCAGACATTTGCGTTCTCACGTGCATGGATAATATCTTGAAAACTTCAGAGCTGCAGTGCATGTGTAAAAGTGGCTAAAAAGCAGTGCATTAACATGTGTTTTGTCTCTTTGCGTAGCTGCTCAGTCCATCCAGACTCCTCTCCATATGCAACAGTGATGCCGGCTCTCTCCAAGTGATTCCTTCATCATCAACATCTGCATCCACGATCCACCAGCTCAACAGCAACATCTGTCAGCTGTGCATCCAACTCGAAGCCTTCGCCTGCTGTGCTCAGGCTCTGGGCCGCGATTTCCGTCCCGTGTTGACGACCTCGCTGTATCCTGTGCTGGAGAAAGCTGGTGAGGAGACGCTGCTGGTTAGCCAGGCGGCGCTGAGCTCCATGTGGGACTTCAGTAAGGTCTGTGGATACGCTTCCCTCAAGGAACTGATCAATGAGAACTCTGACTACCTGCTTAATGACATATCACTCAACCTTCAGAGACTCAGCCAGCATCCACAGGTAGTTATGACGTGTTTTTGTTTTTAACCCAAAATGGACACAGAAATAACTGTTGGAGGGTTTACCCGATTTCCTCCTTGATCTGCTTAAGCCTGTGCTGCCCTGAGCTTGTACTGTATTTCATCATAATCCTGTCTTGTTGGCCAGGCTTCACCGGTGTTGACAGTTCTGTTGACTCACTCTGACTGCAGCCTGCTGGTCGGGGACATCGTTCAGGATCTGGATGTCAGCTACGAGCACACAGCTGCTCTTTTCTGCACGCGCTCATGAAGGCACTGGGTAAGATTTCAACAGTGATGTCAGCTTGAGTCTCACGTATACTGGGAGTCAAAGAGGACAAGGAAGAAAATGTGACTCATTGCATGCTCTGCCACATTTTTTATGTTGCTTAACTTTGTTTTCTGCAGTGCCTTTCAAAGTTTCTATCAGGGAGTACACTTCAGGATGTATAATTTGCTCATTATGAAATTATCAGTATCTTTGGAAACATTTAATACATCGTGATGGTTTAATTGCTGAGTCGTTTTCTGTTGTAGAATTAATATTCATAATAATATTCATACAGAAGTTTTACAAACCCTCACAGTAAAAATGTATGAATTAAATGTTACTGATGGGCTCTTTTCAAAAACATCAGCGTCTGTGTCACACTGATTTTGATCAACTGACTTATTTTATTGTAACCAAACCTATGCTCATATTGTTGTCTTGTTTTTCCTTTAGTGAGGTGGTTTCCTTCCACTTGTAGCAGGACCAGTACATCTGCCAGCTCCAATCAAAGCTCCAGTGACCAGGAAGACCGCAGCATTCGCCAATTCCTGCTGAATTACCGCAAACAGAAAGAACTGGCAGAGGGCATTGGAATAGAGGATGATGACACTGAAGACCGAGGTAATAGGTCTGTCTAAGGGCCAGTGGAATATAAGCTATAGGTTGTAGTGGGGGTTATATTCGATTCAGAGTGTAGAGGAGATGGATCATTGTAATTAAGAGTCATAGAAATCTGAACCTCACTGCTAAACTGGTGGTCTAACTGTACATGTGCTGCCATTGCAGAAGTCCCTCCCACTGAGTGTGAGGATGTGGAAGATATTGGTAGTCCTGATGTGAAAGCAGAGCTTCCCTCCCACCTCAGCATCACTAAGGATGTTAAGGGGCGCTGCATTCATCTGCTGTCTGATCCCAGCCTCAGGCTCTGACTCAAGGTACTGTATCAGTAGTTTTATGTAGAGTCAAATTGTAGGGATGAGTATTGATAAGATTTTCACGATTCCGATTCCATTTTCGATTCTGTTTAACGATTCGATTCTTTATCGATTCTTTTTAAAAAAGGAGAACACTAAGGTCGAATAGCTTTTTTTATATCTTCTCTTTGAACAAGATAGAAATTTAGGAGTAACATGGCCTTACAAACCCAACAGTGAGATCTTAAGAGATCCAGCCTAC